GTCAACTCGACCTACGTCCACTTCCCAGAGGCGCCCTCCGAGTATTGCTCTACAATCGTGACTCTCCTTTAGCCCCCAAAGCTAGGCGGAGAAGCCTTTACGAGCACCTCTTTTTGCCATACCTGGCAAGGCAGAGAACCTTCCTCCTTTTGCTTCCTCCTGAAGCAGGCAAAGAACCTCGATCGCTTGCTGGAGCTTATCTCTCCCAACCCTTCCAAGGATAAGAGACTCTAGGGAAGAAGAAGTGGAACAATGCTTGGAGCAACCCTTGTGAATCCCCTCACAAGCTCCCCCTCACAAGATTCTCTCTCTCTCTCTCTCCCTCTCTCTCTCTCCTTTAGGTTTTCTCAGGTCATAATAGCAGCCAAGGATTTTCAAAAATATTGAACAAGAGCTGTTAAATAGAAGAGCTTCAAAGGAGCTCATTGATTGCAAGTTGCCGACTATATCGTGCAGGACGATATGGAAATCGTCCTGGCCGATCAGTATAAATCCCATGAGATCAGCCAGGGCAACGCCCTGAATCCAAACTAGACGACTGAAAATTGGCTTGATCATCCAGGACGATATTACGATCGTCCCGGCCGATCAGTTCAAATCAGAGGAAAATCAATCAGAGTATCGCCCTGATTTCAAGCTGTCCGATCCCGATCGTCCAGCATATCACCCTGAATTGGTGCTGGCCGATATTTATCATCTAGAAGTAACTAAGGTTTTTGAATTGATTGTCCTGGCCGATCATGCGATCATCCACGACGATGTGATCGTATCAATCATCCTTAATTACTTCCTTGATTTGTCTGATTAATTAAGGTATAATTGTGAATATCGTCCAGGCTGATCAGAGATCCTCCTGGCCAATTGCCAAAAATATAGAATACCTTAATTATTTATGGCGGCAATATCTTTCTGTTTTGAGTATATCATCTAGGCTGATATAAGTATCTTCCAGGATGATTGGCAAATGATGGCTGCCTTAATTAAGAACCCCTGATTAAAACTTCTGTTTTGAGCCCAATCGTCCAGGCCAATGTGAATATCGTCCAAGCCGATTTGATTAAAAACAAAAATTCTAACTCTCTCAAGTGTGTGTGAGTAGGGTTACTTTTCATTAGTCACACCAAAGATTATAATTGACTCAAGAAGGGAAAAAATAAAATTACAGACTGACTCAACCCCAATCTACCCCATCTTGAGCTGGCTCCATTTTTTCGTACTATTTTTTATTCCTGAAAAGTCAGTAGTAAAAGACAGTCCAAGAAAAGTAAGAGTATTTTCCAATCATCAAAACATAGTTCATAGACATGAATTTGCAACATGTTCCACTTCTTCTTCCTCTAGAGTCTCTTGTCCTTTGAAGGGTTGGGAGAGGTAAGCTTCAGCGATCGATCAAGGTTCTGTTCCTGCTTTAGGAGGAAGTAAAAGGAGTTGGGTTCTCTGCTTTGCCGAGGGTGGTAAAAAGGAGGTTTTTGTAAGAGCTTCTCCGCCTTGCTGTGGGAGCAAAAGGAGAGTCACTTTGGTAGTGCAATACTCGGAGGGCACCTCCGGGTAGTGGACGTAGGTCGAGTTGATCAAACCACTATAAACCCTTGTGTTCTTTTTACTGGTTCCACATTTAATTTTTCCGCACTTATTTTCTGTGGTGATTTTGGTTTGAGCTTTGATGTGCTTTGGTTAAAAGATTTTTTAAAATATCAATTCACCCCCCTCTTAGTTAGACTTGGGCCAGTTCATAAGGGCCTAACATCCTGAACAAACTTTCACTATAGGCACCATCTCAGTTCTTTGTGACAACACTAGTGCCATCTGTACTTCTAAGAATCCTATCCAACATTCAAGGACTAAGTGCATTAACATAAGGCATCACTTTATTAGAGATCATGTGACTAAGGGAAATATTAAGTTACACCATATGGAGACTGAGAATCAACTAGTTGACATATTTACTAAACCACTGGCCTTTGATACTTTCAGCACTTTAAGGACTAGATTGATTGTGATTGACATTAATGCAAGAACTTGATCTCTACTAATTTTTAATATGTTATCTGCTGATTACTTTGCTTTATCTTTTGTTTGTTGTTACTTTGCTTTTAGTACTTTATTTTTTTTGTATCCTTAATGTGTCTTTATAAAATCTTTGCTGAATTGATATCTTATACCATGTTTTTGTCTTTCTAAAAATTTATAGTCAATGTTTTACATCTCTTAATCTGCTTAATGATAAAAACACCGTTGATTGTACCTCTTTCTCTAACCCATTTTGGTGGTGAAATTTTCTATTCTAAATAAAAGTCTTCTCAAATTAACAACTGAATTTTGCAATTGAGATCTTTTCTAC